TTGTGGCTCCCCTTCTCCTCATGATAGAGACTCACTGCACTGCCCACGTTGTTTTCTACTGACTAATGTCACAAGGATCCACTCTTCAAATGGCATACATTTTTGCAGGCATAGAGCCCACAGGAAGTGGAAACAAGTAGGTGGCGGTCACTGCAAGGCAGGACTACAACTTTGCAATTTTTTCTCTGCATGTGTGTTTAGTAGTTTATCTGTGTGTGGAGGCCAGAGGTCAATATTAGGCATTTTTCCACTGAATATATTATTTCCTCTGCAATGGTATTTGAGACAAGGCTCCTCGATTGTATTAGACACATTGGATACACTGTAAGGTCTGTGAGCTCCAGGAGTCTGTCTCTTTCCACTAGTGCTAATTTACTGATGTTCAGGCTTAGGTTTTCATGCTTAGGAGACAAACACTTTACCCACTGAGCCGTTTCCCCACCCCAACTCTCCTTTCACGTTTGTCATTTAACTTTTACAAAGTACCATGGGGTATGGTAGCTTAGTCTCAGTTGACTAACTAGGGATCCAAGACCTGAAGAAATGTGTCAGAGTCTCCAAGGTCACCCAGAGTGTCACTCTAAGATAGGGTTGATCAGAGCCAGGTCTGCCTGGCTCCACCCTCTTTACAACTTGAGCTTTGTTATTCCCATCCGAGAGAACAAAACCCTGAGCTGTTTCCTCAGCCATGAGCAACTTGTAGAGAGACTGGGGATCTTACTTTCCAATCAGGTACATCCTGTGTGGTTCCCCAGATGTGTATCACTTTAATCTGTTTCCCTTGGCACTGAGGTCTCATGACTGCCGATATACCGTGAGACGCACCAGCTCTGACTTCTGTCAGGTTTTGTCAGTGGCAGTTTTGGTGGCATTTGTTCCACTTTCCATTGTTAAAACTTCCTGCTGGACCAGATGGAAGCAGTGTTTGGGCCACAGGCTACTGCTTGATTCATTCCAGGGCCAGGAGCCAGGGTTTTGTTAGGACATTCTAAGTAGTCCCAGAACACCAGGTTTCAGATCCAAACAGTGGGAAATGATCATTCTAGACATTTGGAGGCATGGAAAAGAGCTGAGCAAAAGACCATAAGGCACACATTAGCTGACAGGCACAGCCAAGCCTTTTGTATGCTAATGGCTCCGCCAGTGGCTGTGTTAATACATCCTAGCTAGGTTTGTTGCTGTTTAGAATTTATCAGCCTCTCCTCTCTGCATGGGCAAACAGGCTGCCCTGAAAATAGCAGTTTTGCTTAACATTTTGGCATCCAGAATCATTGAACAATCTGCCCTTGTGATAAATTGCCAATACTTATCCAGATATTGTGCTGGGCTGCAGTTTGAAAGAAAAGAAAATTAGAATTTCAGGAAGCAGACCTAGTTAGTAAAATCACTCTTTATTCCAGAAGAACCCGTCAGACTCAGGAAGTGCACAGCAGCTGCTCCCTGGCTTCAGCTGAAGCTAACACAGCTGCTCAGGGCTTTGTGCCCAGCCCTTGAGATGCGAACTCATTCATTTGTAGATGATAGTGGGGAATGTGTATCTCAAATGTGTTTTCCTGTTTTGCCTATAATTTTTATTATTGTTGGGCCTTCCTGGAGGAAGTGGAGTTGCCCCAGGTTGTGATTTTTGTCAAGTTGAAATGGGAGGAGGTATTGCATAGGCAGAGGTATGGCTATGGTCTCTAAGGCCTAAGGGTCCTGTGCTGGAGATGTGATAAACCTCCCAGCTGATTCTGGGTTTACTTGGTTTCTACCTTGAGGGCACAGAACAAGTTTATTAAAATTCAACCGGGAGTTTTATTACTGAATGCTGTTAGAAAAGAGGGCAGGGGATGTCTGGGTATGGGATCTTCAGGACAAACAGCTCCAGTGTGTCTTATACCTGATGTGGAACCTCTGATGTTTTCGAGGTGCGAAGCCTAGATTCAGCTTCTTTTCCCTTAGAAGGGTTGACCTACTGCACAGATGGCCCAATGGGTGCTAGAGGAGATGATCTCAGCCACAAGGGAAGGAGTAAGAGATCTCTGGGAGGCACCTGGTGGCTATGGGTGCTGGGATGTCAGCAGCATGTCCTCAGGGGACACAGGTGACTACAGTGTGGCTACCCTTAAATGGATGATGAAGATTATTCTGTTTTCAGGAGAGAGGCAGCTTCATGATGGTAGTTTGAGGACACATTTTCATGACCTTCTCTGATCCCTGGTTGTACCCTAAGCTTTTACCTCTGTACTGAAAAACCTAATGGTAGGGAAGTTAGTTGGTAGGCTTCTTTGCCTTTCTCTTTTCTGGCCATAAGCTTCTTACGTGACATCATGTCTCGTATTTGTTTTCTGATACTGTGATAAAACACGATGACCAGGGAAACTTACAGAAGAGTTTACTTGGGCTCATGGCTCCAGAGCATTGAGGATCCATCATGGTGGGGAAAGCATGGCGGCAAAGGGCGGGCATGGCAGCAGGAGCAAGAAGCTCAGTACTCCGCAGCTTTGATTGCAGATCTACAGCAAAGAGAAAAACAGGGATTAGCGTGAGGCTATAAACATGCAAGGCTAGCCTCCAGCAAGACTACAACCCCCTCCATCTCCCCAGACAACACCATCAACTAGGCACCATGTGTTCAAATATGTGAGCCTATGGGGGGGGGAGATTTCTCATTCAAACCTCTACATTTGTCTGCCCTTCTAGATTGTTGTAGTTCACATCCAGGCAAGGGAGCCCTTCCTGATCTCACAGCTGCTACATAGCTCATTTTCATTTCATCAGAGGGATTTGTCCTCCTCTAATGGCCTGCTGAGGAGGCAGAGACCCCACAACCTCCTGTCTGTGAGAGGGACTCATGCCTCTCGCTCCCCCACCCTGCACAGGCAGGCAGGGAGGAATCACTCTGACGTATTCTTCTCAACCAACAGCCAGGTTTTCACATCCTTCCTTGTCCTCTGTCCTTCCTCCTAGGACCCTTTCAGTGTTTCATTCCTATCAACAGAATGATGCTGGGTTGGTCCTGAATTAATCTTGTAAATAACCAGCTACTTTCTGTGAAATAACCTAGGGAAAGAGGAAGGACGTCTGTCCAGGTAGAATATTGAAAATGTCCATATTCCATTCCCTGAGGAGAAGGAATGGGCTTTGTTCATGATCATCCTCTTAATGTCCACTGTCACCAGAGCAGGGTCTCATGCAAGGTGAGACCAGGTGAATCTAAGGCATGGCTTACTTCTGAAGGTCTCTGTGACCACATTTTGATTTTACCTAGTAAGTGTCAAGAAACTAATTTTTGATGCTTATTGGCATCATTCTATGCAACCCTGCAGGCCAAGTTCTCTAGGGCCGTGGCTGGATAAAACATTGTCACATAGAATTATTCCCTCTCTCTGATATAATTTACCACTGACCCACACAGTTTTCCCCACTGCTAGGGTTTTCACAAGTCGCTCACATCCACCTAAAATGAAGTTTATTCAGCCTACAAATGTGTACAGAGCAACCATGCACTACCAGGTACTGTTCTGGGCCCTCAAGGTAGATTGCAAATGAAGCCAGAACCAGCAACTGCTTCTGAATGGTTTGTGTCCCAGTAGGGCAGAAAGGCAGTAAATAAACACAGACATCAATGGAATGTTGGTGGTAGCACAAACTTAAGGAGGTCCTGCAGGGTGAGGAGGCACAGCTAGTGAAGAGAGTGCTGTTGGTATATTGTTTCTGAGGAGACAGTCAGGTGAGAGGGCCTTTGAACAGAGACAGATGGGTCTCTGGAGAAGCTTCTCTGGGCAGGAAGAACACCCGAGAAAAAGGCATTGGGGTTTGGTTATTTGGTCTGTTCAAGGCAGAGGGGCAAGGCCACCATGCTTGGATGTAGAGGAAGATCCAATGAAATGAGATGAAAGTGCAGGAGTAGGATCATGCAGGGCAAGCTGGGGACATAAAAATTTTGGTCTGAGTTAAAGTAGCACTGTGATGTTTGGGCAGAAGGAATTCAGTGGATGTTTTATGAATATAAAGGGAAAAGCAGTAAGGGAAGCTGTCTGTCTGGGGTTACTGCAGTAATCTTGGGGTGAGCTGATGTGTGGGAGGGATGAAATATGCTGAGCATACTGGCTTGACCAACCTTATTCTGTCTTCAGACCCCACTTGATCACCTGTGTGCTTCAGAGCCTACACACAGTAAACAGTGTGGTTGTTTTCAACCCTGGACTTCCATGGATGATTCTGCTCTGTCCAGGACACCCAGACCCTTTGAGGCTCCATGCTTGTTTCCTTTGCCTCCCCCAGTTCTATGCCTTAATTATAGTCAGTATGTGAAGCTGTCCCACTCACCTGAGGAGTCTCAAGTGCTCATGTGGTATGGGAAGAAGAAGAAGAGAAGGATAATGGAAGAAGGAAGGAGAAGAAGAGGAGGGAAGAAAGGATGACAGCAAGGAGAGAGAAGTGGAAAGGGAAGGTAGAGAGAGTAAGGGACAGAAGAAAATAAGGAGCAAAGAGAAAGTACCACAGCTGGGTCCAGGGAGCGACAAAGCCAGCTATGCCTATATATATCAAACATTGGGTGTAATCAGGGAGATTGCCCTCATGAACTCATCAAAGATGTAGTCCATTCACTGCACAGATTCGTACCACTGAAGGATGCAAACAGACTCAGTGACCTGCTAACCCACAAATGAGGAACTGTCTACATAAATAGAGTGAACACTGTGATTGTACAAGGTGCAGGCAGAGGCATCCTTAATCCTCCTGTAAGATGCAGCTCAGGGAAACGACTGTTGGAAAGCAAGGCTCATGAAGGGAGTAGGGACCATGCAATCGTTTTGAAGCGTAGAGGAGGGGGTGAGACATGAGAGAAGAAAGGGGGAGGGAGATTCATGTCTGTTCATACAGTTTCTCTGGAGTGACTGACCACCATCAGACAGGTTAGGCAGACCTAGGAGACCAAGAAATCCAAGGGCTTCGAAGTCACAGAATTGGGTGTGATGCTTCACTGTTAACTTTGGCTTCTCTTTTGCACTCAGGGGAAGAAAGGTGAAGTGGGTCCACCAGGAACCCCAGGAGCGCTGGGACCACAGGTAAGGACTGCCTTTTCATTTCCCCATAGCAATGCTGTTTTCTCTGACTCAGTGGCCTGGGAGCAGTTCTTAGCTTGCGACTGGCATCTTGGTAGTCACCATTGGAGGATTAAAAGGAATGACAATAAGTTACATCTACTTTCCTGAAAATGCAAACAAATGAAAAACTCCAAACTCCAAATTAAAAAAAAACCACAGTAAAGGAAGGTAGACTCTTCTCTTTCTCTTTTGGGACCCTGATAACATGTGCATATATGTGCACAAACAGGGACACACACACACACACACATACACACACACTCACACTCACACATGAGCACACTGTATAAAAGAAATAGAACTCTTTGGAAAGAGGAAAGGGACTAGAGGAAGCAGGTTAGGAGAAGGGAAGGTAGTGGGGGTAAATATGGTCAAAGACATTATATGGTTGAACAAAAATAAGAACATGGCATCCATCATTTTGTCTAACAAATATGCACTAATAAATTAAAAATGTTACTAATGCAAATGCACACGTAGAAAGCTAAAAAGGGTGGTCCTAAGTCATATTCATTCTTCTTTGTAAAAGCTGAGCCACATGGTGAGTTCAGCCAGCCTAGGCTACCAAATGACTCACTGATTCAAAAAGAGCAATAAGGTAAGATGGGTTGAGATAAAGGAGATGAAGCAGGATTCGATACAGGATTCACCAACAGTCCCTCTAGCATGGACACACACTGTCCTCCCTGCTTTGGAAGAAGGAAAATCTGTTGTGCCCAGGAGTTCAAGTCTAGCTTGAGAAATATGGTGAGACCTTATCTCCAAGGTTAAAAAAAATATCAGTATTAATTCAGCTCTTCAAAATGATTTTCAGCTGTAAATGTTTTTCTATTGTACTTCTGGTTTCTAACTGTAAAGTCTACTCCTTTCTTTCTGTGTTAACATCTGACATCAAGGACATTTTCATCTGGCAGAGTTTCACTGGATGCCAGGTGTTGAGCTGAGCGATCCAGGCATATATCACCAGCCTCTGCATGGTAGCTTTGCCGTGCATGATGTATCCCAACTCACATAGGAGCTAGGTTCAGAACCAGGCCATGTGAGATTCACAGCAGATAGATACTACATGGTGCCTGGATGTGTTATGGAATTTACTTTTATCCCATGTTGGGTCAGAGGGCATTATGGTGCTTACAGTAGGTACTTCCTGGTACACTGGGTTCTCTCTGATGTCAGACACAAGGCCAGCCATACCTACATAATGGCATATTACTCTGATCCTCTGCCATTCCCCCTCTGTCTTCCTGGCATGTATCTCCCACCATTCCTGGGCTCGTCACTATTTTCTACTGTGTTTATTTCCCCATCTGGTTCACTGATTCCTAATCCAGCCTGTACTTCCAAGTACCTGCTGTGTACCAAACTTTACTCTGGAGCTGGAAAGCCTAAGTGGTCAGAATCTGTCACCTAAGGGACCCACATGCTAATGGGACAGGAGGAGACTAGGGTAGAGAGAGTGTTTTCTAGTAACTCTTAGCTCTCTTGGTATCAAATCATGCAAGACCAACAGATGAGAAATGGAAGCCACTGGTAAGGCAGTTCTTTACATCATGTTTCTCATAGCATGGAGTGCTGTGTGTCTGAAGCTGTGTGTGGGAGTCCTATGGTGGTCCTTGGATGGTCATGGTAAGAGCATTTACTGTGGTTTTCAATAAAAGCACAGTGAGTAAGGAAGGCTCTGCAGCAACTGAGCACTGGATTGCTGGAAATGTTGCAGCACTCTTCGGGTGATTAGATGCTCTTCCATTTACTGGGCTCTGGTCCTGGAGCAATTTGGTCCAGGGATATTGTAAAGGTCCAGACTCTTAAGACCCTGATGAAAGACAGTAGATGGAAACCTGGACCAGGGATTTGTTAGTTTGCACAGGAAAACTTTGTCTCTAGGAACCTACTTAGCTGTGTCTAGGAATCAGCTTAGTCTGGGAGGGATAGTCCCTCTGTAGATCCCCCAAAGCCTCCTGATGTCAAATTATCATTTAAAAATGAAGATGAATAGAGAAGACCAGTACAGGGTTGCGAATTGGATATTTGTTCTCGGGAGGCCCTAAGAGAGCTCCTGCATAGACTGGCAAAATTGGAGTTGATTCTGTGTCGGGAGGCAAAGTCCTGAAGGAGATGCAAGGGCAGAGGGAAGGCAGACACATGTGGTTAGCTCCTCCTGCAGGTATCAAACACCACTGCAGTGCTCACACATCATTGCATCTAGTCTTGGTTAATTGCCTGTCAGTGGAATGTAGCTTCTCCTGAGGAAAATTGAAAGCTCCTGGACTCAGTGGGCTGGGTAGCTTGTGGGTGATGGGCTGAGTCCATCATGGGGTCTGAGGACATGAGCAACCCCAGGGCAGCTGCTATCCTCCTCGATCCTCTTTGGGACCTTATTTTACTTGCTGGATTATTATTATTATTATTATTATTATTAATTATTCAGTTTTGTGAGTACCTTCTTTGCACTAAATGTTTACAGCTACAAGTTATCTATATATTGTAAATTGTGTCTAATGATACCGTTTGCCCCCTAAGTGGATAAATAATGCACAGCCATGCCGGTTCCCACAATTCAGGTAGTAACTGCTTCATTCAGAAATTCATGTCACTGACTGAGTCTTTGATTTTCATCTTTTAAAAACTGCAACCATATATTTAAAAAATTGATTGAGTGTGTGTGTGTGTGTGTGTGTGTGTGTGTGTGTATGGTGCACAAGTGTAGGTCAGAAGAGGTTGTTAGACCCCTTGAGGCTGAAGTTACAGATGATTGTGAGCTGCCTAAGATGGGGGCTGGGATCCAAACTCAGGTCCTTTGGAGCAGCCGCAAAAACTGAGCCTTCTGTCAGCCCTACATTACAGTTTTCAATGGGCAAGTTTGTACGGTTTTCTTTTTGATCTTATTTACAAGTATTTGAGCCAATCTTGGTTACACACACACACACACACACACACAATGAAGTCTGTCTTTTCATTTCTAAATAGTGAGAAAGGCGTAGAGCTTTTCAAATGTTAATCTTAAAATTTCAACTAATGGTAAAATCCTGTTTTCTAACCAGAAAATCTTCAGCAAATCTGGGTAGGAGCCTGCAAAACTTATTCACTGTGTTAGGACTGCACAGCAGTGCAGCATGAGATGGCTGTATACCGCCTGTGGTGACACTACATGCTGTGTTTTAATTATTTAATTACAGCCCCATAGATTCTCTTAGGAAATGATATCGAAAGCAGCCTCACATAAACGCAAGTCCAGTCGCACTGCCCAGGAATTTGCTCTTGAGTTTAAGAAGAGGATGGCACGCTGTCTGTGGCATCACCAACTTAGTGTCATGCTCCATTCTTGATATCAGTTGCAGTATGCACTACTGAATGAGACAGTCCAGCTTTGCCACGATTGCCAATTTTCTTCAGGCTTTTCAGAAAACAGTAGGCCCTCACAGTCAAAGCCACTCATCCATGCTGTCATATGCAGGAATCTTCTCTCACAAGAAGCATAAGGAAAGTGGAAGTCCTTTTGGAGTCCAGCCACATTTACACGTTTGTGCAAAGGTGATTGTGGTATGGCACTCGGTGAGGAATCAAGACCCCTGGGTAGGAGAATGTACAATCAGGGGACAGAGCTGGTGTGAGACCTGGGTGGGATCCTTGAACTGTGCAGAAATTCCCTGAGATGGGCGGTGATCATAGTTACACCTCGAGGGGAACACAAATTGTGAATACCTTTCCCTCAAACATGTCCCAGCTGCACACTGAATTAACTTGATTGCTCGGTTAATTTATGCAGGAAATTTTCATGTGTCTTCAAATTCGAATCAACTTAATAAGTGTACCACGGTTGCAATTACTGTGGTAGAAATAATTATTTGCTATTTCTTTATTAATAATAATTAGATTAATTGGCTACTTACATATCATCATTGTAGCTACTAATTGCATCAGATAGCTGTTTAGTCAGTATATGGGGATTGAATGTTTTCTTCATTAATAATTAGTGTGTTGATTAATTAATTAATATGGAGAGTAATTACTTTGTTGTTTTCATTAATGGTAATACAAACAGGCATGGATTTTGTCAACATTTATATCTATTGGCTAATGTGTTACTCGTTAATAGTCTGATTAATTTGGCTAGATGTTTTCATTAATGTTTAAAGAAAAAAATTAGGAATATGCATATACCCGCTCTGTCTCTCTGTCTCTCTGTCTGTCTCTTCCTATCTCTTTCTGTCTCTGTCTCTGTTTCTGTCTTTGTTTGGTGTGATAAAGGCTCTGAAATTTTCCTGCATAAAGGTTCTTAGTGAAATCCACTGAGGTCACATGAGACCATCTAGGATCTTATCTAGGGTACCCAAAGCCACAGACATTTTGTCTTTTTGTTTTGCAGTGGTGTGGAATTGTGCATGTCAGGCAGGTGCTACATCTCTGAACCGTATCCTCAGCTTCCAGCCTTAAGTTTTCACACGAATCCCAGCAGGCTCACCTCTTAGCCCAGAGAAGATGAGTTGCTTGGCAGCAGCATCTTGAGAAGCTGCAGACACTGCGGCGTCCTGCATGTCAATCTCCATCTTCTGTTTGTTCCAGTCCTTCCTTGAGACACTAAAATCTTTCTATGTAACAAAGGAAGGGACTGTAGAGCATTCTAGTTTCCAAGGGGTTTCTTTTGGCAGGGGCAGTAGGGGGAATAAGGGGCCTCCTTGTCCCCTGAAATCCCACATTTCACTTATGGATCCATGGAAAAATGAAAGACAAGAGGCTCAATAGAAAGAAGAACCAGAGGCAAGACAGCTGTTCATGCGAAGCTGCTGCCTTTTGTAAGCATCAGTACCATTAGAAGACAGCAAAGGCCAGAGCAGGTCCCTGGGGCAGGCTGAATGCTGCTTTGCATTACCCCAACCCCCAAACTGAACTTGCAAGATGCTCTCTGTAAATTGTAATGGATGCTGGAGGCTATGTGATATCTCCTGGTAGCAGTCTCCAGACTTTGTAACAGCTGTTTCCAGCTGCTTTTGACTCTTTCTTCTTCAGCGTGGCTGTTGCAGTAGGTAGATTTTATTCCTGAGGACATTCCCAGTGCTTCTCCACTTACCTCCTCAAACCTTTGTTAACTCCCTACTGTGTGAACAGCAGAATCAGGTGCTAAATGTTTGGACTCAGAGGGATCAAAGACGTCTTTACATTCTAAACTCTCTGTAAGTGGCAGAATGTATCAATAAGAAGAGCATGAGACTGGCATCTTTAGCAGGATGGCCAGACTGACATTCCGGTTGGGTTGGGAGGGGCACTGGACCACGGTGTGTTCTATTCCAGCCTGGACTCCCAGTTGATTTAACTCCCATTTCCTTTCCACATTCACAGCTTGGAGTGGAAAGGGCTGCCTCACTTGATCAGTATGGGGTCTGAAACGAGTAGAGCTGGTAAAATGGAGAGCCCATTTCTGGCAGTTCTTCCGGGTTTCTACCTTCTTTTCTATGTCTCCCATGCACACTGTGCCTCCTCTCTGTTATGTTATGTACACAACAACAGGGATAGGGCTAGAGTGGAGGGGGATGCAGGCGGGGTTGGTGGCATGGAATGATCCTGTACTAGAGACATCTGCACTACTGAGCATCACACCAGTCCCTGACCTTAGGGACTTGATCCTAACCTGCTACTCGGGAGTTTAAACAGGCAGCTCTGGTCTCTGTGTGTATAACTTCCAATTTAGGTGACTCTGAAGCAGCTGGACCCTTCAGGATGCATATACCTCTTTTGTACCTGGAGAAGAACTCTGCATGACCTCTAGCAAGGCCCTCAAACTCTCTAGGCCTGTTTTTTCACTCTCAAACACTAAAGGCTTCATTTTCACTAGCTAGTCACTGAAGATCATC